CGCCTGGTGCGTCTCCTCAGGTTGGTGCGGCTGCTGAGGAAGATCAACTCGCTGGATCCGCTGCATCTCATGACGACAAGCATACGAGGCAGCATGGGTGGGCTCGCATGGTCCATGGTGTTGTTGGCCCTGATCCAGACCTTATTCGCGATGATACTCACCCAGGTCCTGCGGTACGGCTGGATGTCGGAGTCTTCGTCGCCTCTGTCAGAGGATGCCCAGGTGCAGTTGTTCAAGTACTTTGGCACGTACACCCGCGCGATGGTGACTATGTTCGAACTCATGCTGGCGAACTGGCCCAATGTTTGCCGGTTCTTAATGGACGAGATTCACGAGGTATTCGGCTGCCTTGTCGTAGTCTACAAGCTTTCCGTTGGTTTCGCAGTGGTCGGTGTCATAAATGGAGTATTCATCCAGGAGACATTCTCGGTGGCACAGAACGACGAGTTCATAATGGTGAGAGGCCAGATCAGGCAGATGGAGCACCACAGGCAGAGCGTCAGCCGTCTCTTCAGGATGGGTGACACGGACAAGTCCGACACCCTCACTCGGGAAGAGCTCAATTACTTGCTGCAGAATCAATCCATACGGACTTGGTTAGAGGCAATGGACCTCCGCTATTCCGATCCTGATACGCTCTTCACGTTGATCGCAGGGGATGGGGATGAGGTCACGATCGACGAATTCATCGCCGGCATCGGCCGCCTCAAGGGCGCCGCCAGGAATATCGACGTGATCACTGTGCTCGACATTCTACGGCAGCAGCAAAAAGTCATCGTGGATGACTTGGAGTTGCTGCTGAAGCAAGACATCAAGCGCAGCTCCCCCGAAGCAGCACGACCGTGGGGGAAGCAAGCGGATGATGCCGAAATCCCTACGCTTTAGCATGTCGAAACACGCCGGCGGCCTGCTCAGCCGAAGGCAATGCCGCAGCCCGCTGAACAGGCCCAGACATGCCCGAGCGGCAGCACAGGTAGAGGCGGATTGCCTCAGTACTCGGACACGTCGATCACAACTCAAGGGAAAGTAAATTACACTGTCGGATGCGATTCGGAATTCCGAGCTGCTGCTTGAAGGGCACGTGAACTCGGCACGGAGCTTGCCATTGTATCTAATCTCTGTTGGCTCCCTCTGCGGCTGGCCTGGAGAGGCGGTCTAGCGCACGCTGAGTTCTCCACCCTGCTCTACGGGCCGCACCGGGCCGCTCTGGGCCTCGCCCGACGGAGGGCCTGACTCGAAGGCATTCCCCAGACACTCGCCGAGCTGTTCTTGCCCAGTGCGCGGCCTCAGGGGTCTCGACCGCTTCTCCGAGGGGCAGGTCTTGCCGTCCCGGAGTCGTTCCCGATGGCCCCCTTGGGGTGCGGAGGATGCCCCCGAGCGCCGAAGCCGCGGGGAAACCGCCAGTGGCACAACATTATGCCTGATGGGCTTGTTTTCTCCACCACCTCCACCACCACCATAAGCTGGAGGGGGGAAGGATGAGGAGGACGAGGAGGAGGAGGAGGACGACGACGAGGAGGAGGAGGAGGAGGACCCCCTCCCCCTCCCACTTTTGGTGGTGGCGGTGGAGAACAAGCCCATGGATGCCGATAGGGGATCTGGATCTCTCCCTCGAGGCCTCCCCGTGGCGACGCTGCGGCAAGCTGTTCCTCGCGCTCTGCGGGCGCCTCGCGGCCCTGCCCCCTGCAGCCCATGCCAAGCTGTTGAGGTTGCCTCCCGTCTCCGCCCCTCCTCCCCCTCGCGACGCGCTGCTCTTCCAATCCCGATGAGCACATTTTCCACCACCACCGTATGTGGGACGGGGGAGCAGGGAGGATAAGGAGGTCCTCCTCCTCCTCCTCCTCCTCCTCCTCCTCACCCTGGAGGGTTGGCAGGTACACACAAGCATAGACTCCCGAAGGCCCGCGCGGATTGCCGGGGGCGGCTCTGAGCCTCCCCCCTCCCCTGGCGCGCGGAGCGCGCCACGGGCGTCGCTCTGCCGGCGCATGGCGGACGGGCGGCTCGCGCTGCCTGCCTCTGTCCCCGCCGGGCTGGGCCCGCACGCCCGGGGACGCCGTGGGGGATGACATGTTCTGCCTTGTGGCTCTTCACCCATCGTAGTTCCTCAGATTCTGAAACCTGTCCCTAAGATGGGGGCCTCGGGGACGGGTCAGCGAAATAGGCGGATGCCTCGGCGCCCCCGGCCCCGGCCGACGACTTTTCTCTCTCGCGCTGTACCGCGCCCGCCTCGCTTGGCCTGCTTGCCAGCGCAGGGCCGAGACCCCTCGGGCGCGCGCCTCTGCAGGCGGAGGGCGCCAGCGCGCCCTGCTCTGC